GAGTTATAGTATTCACAATAGTTAAATAACTAAGATAAAGAATTAATCTAGGTGCTATTCATCTGCTTCTCAACAGATGAATAAAGAAAATGCATATGGACACAATTGGGTATTATGCAGCTACAAAAAGAATAATATTAGTGTGATCTGCAGGAAAATGGACAGAGTCAGAACTACTAGCAAGTGCTGAAGAGGCTGTGGGGAAGAAGGAACACTTTTACACTGTTGGTGGGAGTGTAGACTGGTACAACCACTGTGGAAACCAGTGTGGAGATTCCTCACAAAACTAAGATTAGAAGTCCCATTTAAGGACTAACTAATCTCCTTCTGGGTATATTTCCAAAAGATGAAAGCATCAAAGTTACATTTCTTGTTATATAGGTCTTGCTTTATCTTGGTCTTAACCATCCATCAGAAAAGTATAAAAATGAAGTATAAAAAGTAAAGTCATATTAATATGCTGAGCTATAAAAGGCTCAAGTTAATAACTTCTGACATTGCCAGTCCTATGAATAACCCACTACTATTATGGATTGCTGGACTATATTGGATTATTTTGCTGAATTCACGCACCTACAATATTTAAATGGCACTGGAATACCCATCTCTGACAAAACTAAACAAAAAAAGGGGATACAAATGAAGGACCATTTTGTATCTGTGTATACGAAATAGGATAGATATACAGCTACTTTCCTTAATTCAGTGAGAAGAAAAATTTGTACTAATACTGTTTGGACAGGATATCATGTCTGCATCCTGTACTATGAATAACCACTACGAAGACAGCAATATGCAATGTATTAATTATTGAAACTGTGCTATTAATCAGTTTTGAAACTGTCTCATTGCTATTTGTTTCTCAATAAAATTAATAAAAAAGAAAAGAAAATAATCACCAAAATAAAGTAAGACTAAAGCAGAAGACTAAAAAGCAGAAAAAGAAAAAGAAAACCTCGTACCACAGTGATATATAGTCACCCATGTTTATAGCAGCACAATTTGTCATAGATAAGTCTTGGAAACAACACAAATGCCCCTCAGCTGAGGAATAGATAAGTTGATGAAGTTCTGCCCAAAGCACCACTTGAATGTGTACTCAGTGCTTTACCTTTGTTCCCTGGATAATGTATATTTTTGAGGATTTTAAAAAATATATACTCTTCCTGTGAGTGGCCTTAGGTGACCTGTGAAAATGGTTCGCTACTCTCTTGACCCGGAAAACCCCACAAAATCATGCAAATCAAGAGGCTCAAATCTTCGTGTTCACTTTAAGAACACGCGTGAAACTGCCCAGGAAATCAGGGGTATGCATATCCGAAAGGCCACCAAGTATCTCAAGGATGTCACATTAAAGAAGCAATGTGTACCATTCCGGTGTTACAATGGTGGAGTTGGCCAAACAGTGGG